ACGTCTTCTCGCTTTCCTACAACACATCTGCTACAATTGAATCACACTATATAACAGTAACTTTAAAGAGTTAATGTAATGTAGTATAATCCAATTGTAGCAGATGTGCTGATATTTTTTAATCACTCTATCAAGTACAGTAACAATCACTTATAAAATAACATCTTCTGCAAAATAGTTTACAGTGAGTTTTTTTATGTCGAGCTGTATGATGAGTACGTAATGTGTATTAATTCAGAATATGCAATTAAAAATGTTCATATCCAATAAAAGTAAGATGGCGTAATTTTAAGAGAATCAGTTGTAGAAGAATTAAAATTAAGAGGTAATTACCAAGGTTCGTCCGAGATTTATATTTGCATGGATCTTTTTTGTCTTTTTTATGCCTAAAATATAAGCTAGACAGCTTTCGAATTTTTTTCATGAAAAAGGTACGTCGAACGAGAAAAATCCTCACGATTTATTGCAATTTAAATAACAAACTTATTTCGAAAAATAGCAAGAATCTCACTTTCTAAAGAACAGAAAAATGATAAGAATACTTCTTTTCCTTCCCACCTAAATGCAAAATCAAGCGTGCCTAGAAACTCCAAAATATCCTCTAACAGAAGTGATAAGTTCCGAAACTAAGGTAACAATCTGTAGTCTGACTTCAAAAATGATAAAGAGAAACATAATACAAAACGAAATAGTAGGTACTTAAGCAGTTTGTTAGATTGCTGGCTATATATTCTAATTATGTTAAGATTTCCGGCCTTTTAGTACCTTTAAAATAATAGACAAATAAAAGGACCTAGTCTGGCATTCAGTCTTGCCAACGTCATAGGCCATAACAGCGAATAGCAGCTATTTCTGACTTGACATCTGAAAATTTAGTGCCAGCCATTGTCTGCCAAGCACGCAATGTTATGTTTCAACACCCCCGACAACCCCCCAATATTGGGAACCAAATTGCTCTTTCAAGGACACTTTTTATTTTAGCTCAGAAAACATGCATAGCAAATTATAGTAACAACTAAGATTTACAATTAAATATTTTCGACAAAAAATGCAATAGTTTTAATATACGCTTCTGTCAGTTGTAATAGCAGTACTTGTTTTATGTTCTTGAGTTAATGAAGGACATGGGTGTTTTCACCGATAAGGAGATTAAAATAGTTTATTCATTATAGGCACATTTGCGTACTTTGCGTTCACTTCAAGTTTGCGGATTCCGAAGCAAACTATGTAGCATTCTTAAGGTTGCTTATTACTGACAGAATAAGAGTTGTTTCAATCGATTATGGCAAAGCACTAGAGAGCTATCTGCTTAAAGAGAGGGATGCCTTCGTGAAGGACTTTCTAAAGGAAACTGGCTCGTACATATTACAGTACACGTTACACATGAATAAAACCGCAAAGAATAAAGGATGGCAAATTATTTGGTTTGCTTTATTTAATTTTATGACATAGCACGCGAGGGCTATCTGCTTAAGTGAAGGGATGCCTTCCTGGAAGACATCCTAAGGGGAACTAGCTCGTACACACGTTACACATGGGGAAAATCACGAAAACGTCCATGCAGCCAGCCTGTTCGGCGGAATATGAAGTCTGGACCGAACTCAGCGACAGGCCGAACTACCAATGTTCGGCAGTTGGTGGGCCCATGGATGGCAAATTATAAATTTGTGTTCGAAAACATATATTTGGATAAATATCTGCAGTTTTCTTCATTATACAGAAAACTATACTCTACCAGACAGTAGAATGAATTTGAAATTTCGTTGAAATTTTATCGGTTTACAAGTTACCTACTCTAATCAATGTATGTCAGAAAAATAAAACCATATTTAAGCAAAACTTAACATTAGATTGGCATTAAATCTTGGAGAAATATAATATTTCGATAAAATTATCACTAATCTAAAACTGAATTCTGCCCACTTTTAAACTATACTAATACTTAAAGCAAAAATGAAATTCACTGCATGCTGAAATACCCAAACATAGTTGGACTGTTTACTTGTAGTATTCCTATTGTTTCTAAAGTTCTGCCAGCTTTTAACGTAAGCAAGCAACTATTGCTTGTTTACCTGCTCCAAGTACCGTTGACAGAGACTAGAGGGTTATTTAATTTTAAAAGGATGTAAATAAATCGTTTTTAAATGACACTTAAGAAAATAAATTTACTATAATTTATAAACAAGGGAATATGCAAGAACTTAATTTGACTGTTCATTTCAGTAAAGTGTTTGTTTAAACTTCAAAACTTTAAAAAATATACAATTTACTGTAGTTATCAGTAAAATACTTAAATATCAGATTATTAATAATCGTACAACATTAATTATTATAAAATTATACAACACCATATTATTATCGCATACTTTTACATTTAGCTCCAGTTGGTTTTTTTAATAATACTGTAGAATTAAATAACTGCTTGCTGGTGTCTGAAGTATTGAATACTTCATTATATATACGGCATAAAATCTTTTAATACTTAACAAATCTTCATCGCTAGAGTTTGCAACATTCTAGCAGTCAACTGCAATGCAGTGTTTGGAAAAAAATACGTTATGAGGCTAAATTTCATTGGCCTTTTAACAGTGTAAATTTATCTGAGAGGATACATTTTAAATAAAAAACATATATATATATATATATATATATATATATATATAGATAGAGAGAGAGAGAGAGAGAGAGATAGGCATATAGATGTGTGTGTGTATTTTTAATGTGATCAAATTATTCTAATAGCTTGTCCACACAAAACTAATATGAAAATACGTAGGTGAAATATATTTTTTGTAGACATTTTACTTAATTAAAAAGTATGTACAAAAGTCATGCCAGCATTTTATTCCTTTGCTGCTCAGAACACTGAAGGTTTTCAAAAGAAATATCTAGTTTCTACAAGATAATTCCGATATCTTTGGAATTTCAAGTGATAACCAACTCAAATATGCAGTGCAATAGAAGATACTGTTAAAGTTATTCTTAATCACAATCCCACTACAAATCGGTAGCAGAAATATTTGCAAATAGGATCGATTTTCGGTGGTGACTGAATGGGTTTTAAACGCACGGGGCTTTTCGACACCTTCTCATGCGCTAATTAAATAAGAACAAATTTTCATAAATATGTTTCTGTAAAACCAGCTCTTGCTTTATATATAACCTTCCTGTGCTTCGCCACAACTAATCAACCAACCAAACTTATACAAAACAAAGAGGGAGAGAATGTAAATAACTATCAAAACTTAAATAACAAGTGTAAATAAAATAAATATTATATATGCGCAAACTCGTATTTCCACATTATCTCAACCGATTTAAATCATAAATCTACTTATATGTATCTGTGCATATATAATGTCCATGTGGTTGAACTTTAAGAATCTGAATTTCTATTCTGTAATATTTAAGAAATGAGGATGTCTGGAAGACCAGCCATGAAATAAAACTTTTCCAAGAATAATATATTACTTTTATTTCTGTTTAATTTTTGAGGTTTTGCAATTTAAGCTCCTGAGCACAGTTTCAGAATTCTAGTCTTTCAATAGTTTGTGACTATGTCTACAAACTAACTTCCAACCCAATGAAATGTAACTTTCCTAACGGAGCCGAAATTAAAACTTCGGAATTTTAACTTGTCAATTTTTTTTCAGGTCTTTTGAGGACTAATTTGAAAATCCGAAACATTTTTAAAACATAACGTCTAAAATCCAAAAAGGATAATGTGAAAAAGAATAAGTTGTTTATCCACAGCCACATAAAATAGAATTTGTTTTGCGCAACCTTTTCACTCCCAGGGGTTCAGGACGCTACAGAGATCAGGATTCGTCCATCGTCGATCACTTTCACTAGCGATGAAAAGCCCTGCTGTCGCTGACCCAAAACTGAAGGTTTGAAATGTAGCTACAACTTTATCAGTCGCATTGACCGTGGTCACTTTTCTATCTACAGGAAACAGCGGAAGAACGTTTCCGGAAACAAATTACGGAGTAATTAGTCATCTCGTTCTATAGCTCACCAGGTCCGCGGACTAATGACAGTGCTGAACTATTCATTGGTAATCAAGCTTCAACATCAGGTTGCATTAAGTTGCACGTTTTAAAAACTCTTGTTGTTACGACTGCAGAACAGAAATGATCTACTTTAGTTGTAAAATGACAATGGTTTCGATATTTCCACATAATCGGGAACGGCATTAAATTGGAAAAATAATATCTTTTGCATTTTGGTAATGTTGAACACAATTTCAATAAATTTCGGCCATTGCATTTATTTTGTTGGGTGTTTAAAACAAAAGTGATTTAAATGATTTAGATCCAGCGTAAGTTTACAGAAATAAATCGAAATTAAATGTTAAACACCCTAATTTTCTTAAAAATATATTGTCAGCATTGGCAGTTGTAATATCAACAAAATAAGATATCCTCCAGTACACTAAGACTACAAGTGTTATCGTTGTCCCTTATTCTTATGTCCGAGTACATAGCCACAGCTGTCAGCAGTTAAAAATAATTTTGGTCACATGTACTTTCGGCAAATTTAGTACAAGAATAAAATAGAAAATTTTATAAAATAGAAAATTTTCACTAAACTTTTTATTTGTAAGCTTCCTATTTGCTTGTACAACAAATTATTCAATTTTTTAACACATACATGTTTGAATATTTTTATTTCTAATAAGAATATATGGAAAAATGAGGGTCATACAATATGACACTATATATTTATTATAAATAATTAAAATATCAAATGTAATTTAATGTCCTTACTGGAAATAATACAATTAGGCTAGTATAAGTACTGATTTTGGAATTCTTGATGAGAATTTACTCGAATAAATAATGATACCATTATTATTTATTTTAATGTTTATATACTGCAAGGAAATTTTGAATGATTAAATATGACCATTGTGAACAGACGTATATACTTTCGTGATGCCAATACAAAATACGACAGTTTTAAGGGTAGTAAAAAGCAGAAACAGAAATTGCACTTACCTATGGCGGCAGACGGTGCCTTTATCCAAATAAGCATCGGCCGCAACTTGGCCTCAGTTCAAAGACTTTGAACCTCTCGCCGGATGTCCTGTATCAACAAAAGAATTCTATGTACATCAACAAAAGCATTCGATGTACAATACAAGAATTCGGTGCACATGTATGAGACCGGCAAAATATCTGCTTTAATCTTCCTATAAAGAATATGTTTAAAGGCATAAAATTGCATTGGATGCTCGTGATTACGAAGCAACAGTTCAATAACCAATATGTGTTGTCGGTGAATCTCCCCAAAATTAAAGATGTTTTCTTAGGAATTCGACAAACTTTCTGCTTTAGTGTCGCCGAGCATCTGTTACTTATTGTAAACTCTTGGATGTGGTGAACCACGATGTTACGATGAACAAAAGTAATTCCGTCAGTATTTTTGCTTATTTTTATTTCCTTCCTGTTTAAATCCAGGCGGTGCAACAATTCAATTCGAGATACTCCAGCTGTCAAACACCATTGTTTCAAAACTTGCTCGGCACGAGAGAAAAAGACAAAAAAGCGGGATTTCCCATCAAAGTAACAATTTCATGAACCTGCGGACATGCCGCCGCTCGACCACACGTTTCAAAAATCCCAACCCACGAATTTCTGAAATGCGGTTGATCAAATTCTTTTATTTATTTATTTATTATTGTTTCTTTTTTATTATTATTTCCTTTTCTAGCGAACATGCGTTAAACGGCAGTTTAATCAGTGACTGTGTCGAGATCCGGAAACGTCAAGATGCGGCGCGTGTTCTGAGGAATAATCCAAGGGATGGAGAAAGTGAGATGCTGGACGAATAGACTTAGAGACGCGCAGTTAACCAACTGCCTCGGTTGCTCTTCTATTGAACAATAGCTTGCTTCACTCAATAGACGCGCTTCACAAACGGGTATTGTGCGCACGCCGGCTGAATGCTCTGCTTATCTCACTCGCTCGATGATCATATTTTTTCTTTTTCTTTTCTTTTTTTTAAGCGGCTAAAAAGTTTGCTCAGTTGCGTAGTGGTCCATGCGCAAGGACGTAAACGATGACATCATCGTATGTGGAATACATACGCTGCCCGCCTCAATGAGCCAACCTTTCAGATATGACCCTCGAAAGAAAGTCTACTTCCAAGGTCACCTCAAAGAGCCGGAACTAGCTACAAATCACGGCATTTCTTAACAGAAATTAGAATGCGAACCGGCTGCCAAGGAAGTAAGAACAGACTTATTGGGAAAACCGATTCGTGCACATCAATAACCTTTAAAAACTTTCTCTTTCGTCAGCAAAGTTTCCCGGCTTCTCAAAGCTACGAATCAAATTACCTTTCCGAATTTAAATATAAAACGAGCGAAAAGTTTTCTTATAAACCAATCAGTTGCACAGTCAGAAAACGCTTATCGACATGTAACGTTTTCCTAAATCTGCATACAAGTTCCTAGGTTTTGCCTTATAATAATTATGCATATGTTGTGATCAATACTTTCTCTTCCTAGATAAGCCTGCAGCAGACGCAAGAGTTTCTGGATTACACCTATTATAGGGAAACTACAGATACAATATTTAGATAAATGTTCTCGACTAAATCTGACAAAAATACTTTATGTTTGCATCTTAATATAAACACACTGATTACGAAACCTATATATCAGTTTTATTCTAATGAATTTCCAGTTGAAAGGTCATATAATAGAAGCTTAAAATTATTAAGACATGACAATTCATTTTTAATACTTTTATGAAACAATACATTAATTCAAATTTGCTGAATATATATATATTCGCTGTTTCTTGAAGAAAAGCATCTTATAAATTTGCTTGCAATTTAGACTTTTCACTATTTGCTTAAATCCACTTGTATTTAATCAAAAGCTAACTTCGCAAGTCGACACGCGTGTGCATGGCTATTTAGCTTATAATTTATATTACCTTACATCTTTGTGTTCACTTAGGCTCCTACCTAAAACTTGATCACAAATAGACATAAAAATATATCAGTTTTCTTACTTCCATTTAAACAGAAATGAATTTTTAGAAGGAACGTTTTATAAGATTTTACAAGTTACAATTATTAACTATCAATAAAAAATGAACTGAAAACTATCCACAAGACTAATAGATTGACTGATACAGAATGGCTCAGAGATAAAGCAAAATTTGATGTTTTACTTTATGTAATTTATACGTATGATTAATATTTTTGAAATGTTAATTGTATGCTAAATAGAAAAAAAAAAAAAAAAGAAAGAAAAAAAAATTCCTACATTCAAGCCATATGATGGAGATATTTTCTTAAAAGCACTTAAATCTTTGCATACCATATTTGCAAGAAAGAGCTAAAATTTCACATTTTTTTAACAATATTTGGTGAGTATTAAACAAATTTTATCTGAAAGTTATTAACTTGAAAAGACGTAAATATAATAATTCAACAACAAACTCTCAGTGATGAGAAACTTTTATTTACAAAGAAAAAGATAATAAATACTCAAAACTTTCAGAAACCACAGTAATTATTCCAATACTTAATTGCTATTTCGAAGTTAATAAGTCTTTAGAGATTCTTAAGGAACTTCCTATTACGTAGGCAATACAAGATATGATACATTCTTATGTATATGTAATTACATTCCTACTTTATTTACAAAGTACTTATATTTATTGGCAAAAATAGTTAATGAAATCACATAAGAATACATATATATATGTAAGTAAGAGAAAAGATAAAACGGAAAAGTCTAATCTTTAACAAGAGTATACATTTTCTAATTTTTTTATAATGAAGATTATTGCCGAATTTTAGGGAAATTCTTAAGGAATTAAAACGTGTATGAATGTTTAATGAGAACATGGTTCTGATTAAAATTCATTTGTTTCAGAATGAAAGGCGAACTACCTAATTAAATACAATACTTTACTATAATATAATATAAAAAAGAAAATAAATGATATTGATATAACTGAGAGGCAGACCTAAACTGATATAACTCAACTATCAGAATTAGTGGCAATTGTGCAGTTTATACGTACGGATAATTTCCTATATAATTCATTTAGTAGTTAAAAAGTGGATAGTTTAGCGTTTCACATAGTTGCATAATTAAACTTCTTTCCTCAAATTCTGCGATTTAATTTATCAAAATACCCGATTATAGGATCCTACCAAATTTTAGGGTAAATATATAGCCCTTTTCCACCCCCGAAAGAAAAGGGACTGCGATATATGGTTACTAAGAAATATTACAAAGTTGTACGAATTAATTTCAATAAATTAGCAGGCTACTAAGCAGCATTCGACACTGAAACAGAAGTTTTAGAAAAGGGTTTCATGAGCTCGTTCTAAAAATGTGGAGAATCTAAGAAATCGGGAAGATTGATTTTGAATTATCTTGCCGAATAGCTTACCTTTTTCCTCACAGAGTTAGGAAACTATGACGACAGTGAAATTTACCTTCTGCGATAAAAGTTAAAAAGTTACTAAAGATATATTGATGGGCAAAAAAGTTTATTTTATTGTTTGGACATTACCAAATAAGTTATTATTACGAAGAATTTCGAGGGCCTATTCAAGAAGGGAAGACTTTAATCATATAAAAATGTACTGAAATGTAACTAGAGGTGTTCTACAAGGGCAAGAGAGAATTTCGTACATAAAAAGGGGAATGCGAATTGTAGAAAATTGTTAAAGTTTTAAGTTATATACATGTTTTAAACATAAATTTATATGCATGTTACAAAAATTAACTCACGGGGTTAAATACACAATATTATAAAAATAGATAAAAAATTTGAAATCAGATTTTTGAAGGTCATAAATATTTAATGGTAACAAAAGCTTAAGTAAAGCGACCAGAGTATTATTGCTCCCTCGACTATGAATAGGACAGTCACCTTTTATTTAGAGGCATTATTATTTTCAGTTATTATTATGCTTTTTGTGACCTGAGCAGTTTATGAAACAAGAGCTCTTCATTTTATACTAATTATTTCAATATTAGAACAATGTTTCTGTGTATTTTATTATTATTTGTATTATTTTATACTGGATTTCATTTTTTTTCCGCAGTTTTTCTTAGAATATCAGAAAAGGCTTCCTTCTGATTTACAAATCTGCTTCCCTAAATATGAAGCAATAATTGAACATCATTTAAAAAAAGTTTGGAATTAGCTGTTTTATGTTTGTCGTTCATACAACAATTTTCCTATGTTGTTACTTTTACACATTTTTTGGCAACCATTTGACATCTGCAACCTTTTCAGTTTTTCAGATTTAGGTTCGATTTTCATATAACATATTTCGACACAATTTATATGTTTTTCTCTGTCTTTGCTGGATTGCAAAGAGTTAATTTATATAATTCTATAGTTTATTTAGATTCAATTCTTTTAGCAGAAGCTTTTAGAGTGGTCATGCTACTATTATATTAATATCAATCACTTAAATTGAGCTTCATGTATAAACAAACTGTAAGCTGAATAAAAATGAAATGTTCCTTATACCGAAATGACCTTGAAATGAAACAGCTCGCCCAAAATAGCAAGCGCCAAAAATAGTGTTGATCGGGCATACAATTGCTTACTAGAGTTGGATTCAATTTCACGTAGTCGAGTGTCGTCATATCAAACTTTGGCGGATTTTAAAAGTGGGTAGAATAAACAGACAAAAATAACAATCCGGAGAGAAAATAAATTTACATCACTGAAACTTGATAATTATCTCAAGCTACTTTTACCTCATTTTACGACCCCTTCTCACTTAAGTCGCCTGGCAGAAACTGTGGGAAAAGAGTTTTTATGTATTTTAGAGGGGGTTCGAAGATAATTTTTTAGCGTTTTTTTTTTTGCAACTGTTTCTGCGTTTAAAGACTGGCTTAACTACTATTTTAATCCAGAAGTTGAGACTTAAGCTGACCTCTGAATTGACCTTTGATGGTGATGATAGTCATCAATAATATTTCTGACTAAGCCCGACTAATTTTAGATTTTATCACAAGACTAAAGATTGTTCTTTTGCCTATGAACATTGCTTGCCAACTTCAGCAAATGAATCAATATGTGATAATGAAAGCATATTTATTACGCCCTATATGTTCTTGGAGCCTGTTTAAGGTTGCTTAGGCTTAATTGATTATAATAAAGCACGAGAGGGCTAAGAGGAAGGATGCCTACCTGGAGGGCTTTCTAAGAGAAACCTACTACTATCCACATCACACATGGGGAAAACCATGAAACCCGTCCATACAGACAGCCCGTTCGCCTGGAATCGAAACCAGGTCGAACTACCAGTGTTCACCGATTTTACCGCTCGACTACTACTGGGCCTCGCCAGTTTAAGGGCAGCCATTTAAAGGGAATGTGGAACTGAAGGTTTGTTTAATGTATTTTAATGTCTATCGTGCACTATGAATGTCGATCATTTTCCATTTTAGCGGCTGCAGTCGTTGTTATGGGAAAGCAGCTCAATTTTGAATTTGACACCAAATATGTTGTATGATGCCTAAATTCTCAAGTCAGAAAATCACGCCTGAGTGTTTTCTTACATTTCAAAGCGTTCTTGAAGAAACAGGGATTTGATTTTAAGCTTGCAATAAAAAAAAGTTATGCTTTCAAACTTAAAGGATTAAATCTCAGTTACAACCCTTGAAGTCATCGATTTGCACAAGCAATTATTATAACAACCAGAAAAGGAATAAAAAGCATTCTTGCCTGCTGTAAGAAGTTTCGAAGGGAGAAAAGGGGTCTCTTTTGGCCCGGACTTAGATGCGGGGCTTCTTCTGGACTTCATAGAATCTCTTGTCACAAGATCCACCTAATTTTATAATTAGAATGCAAAATATTAGTTTTATTCATATCAAACTAAGGTCTTTATTAAGTGAAAATACTCGCTTAATACCACTGACCCTATTATAACAAACGTATACAGAGAAAAATATCTCGATTTACGTTCAATCTCATGCATTGATTCTCAAAGGAGGCAGCAACCGTCACCCAGGGGTCACTGGAGCAGTTTATCGTGGCGACTGAATCTCCAAATATTATGGCCGGGGGGGGGCGCCAAATTACAATCGGTGGGCGATGAAAAATTTTTGTTTATATAGCTGTTCGCCTACCTTTCCAGGAACATGTCGTTCACAGCTGTTATCTGCACTGGCCAGCTTGTCCAACAAGTAAT